TTTAAGGCTTTTTTCCCTTCAAGCGCCACGCGCCGACTAACTTATGCCACTATTCGACAAAAAATTTAACACACTTGTCGGTTAGTGTGCGGTGAATTCAGACAAGTCTGCGACAAGATCGGGGCATGTCGGGCGATATCTGACAGTGCTAGATCTCAAAATGTCTTGTTGGGCCTTGCCGGCTAGTTTGCGGTAGACCAGGACCATTTGTCGGGGCTCGCGCGCGCCTCGACCAATTAGGAAATGTCATGAGAGTCACGTCAGTGGAATAGGCGCCATCTTTATTTTGGATGACTCAGCCCCAAGCCTCAACGCGGTTAGTCGCGACATAAAATCGGCCAGTGTGCGGCAAGCTCATGGCCCGACAAATTTTAACCCGATTTGACCCCAACTAGAAATCTGCAGTTCTACGACAAAAAATCCGCTAGTGCGCGGCAAATCCTGCGAATGCGAGTGCAAGTATGAAGTAACGATTTATGTTAGGAGCACTTGATATTAGCAAATTCTCTCCAAAAAAATTACAGGCCAGTGTAAATATCAGAGTTCTCAAATATCTCGAGTAGTGTAAATCCTTTTACAATTGCTCAAGCTTTTATAACATTACGAACGCGGGCGCATTAATTTGAACTGCAGTGCAAATGAAAGTCAACGATAAATTAGCTTACTCACGGCCACACAATGAAGTAATTTTATCAGTCGTATAATAAAGGAACTAACAACCACGCGTAAAACGTTTTGACATCTCTTCGATGGATTTCCAATCTGCTTAGCCAATTACAGACGCATAAACCAGGTAATTCCTTGACTTTTGAACTGTCCGCCTCTTGTCTACATTAACTTACAATAATTGATCTGGGTTTTCAGTNGGTTTAGTGACGTCATTGACTCTGAACTCGTGGTTGCTGTGGGCACCTACAAAGAGGACAAACAGGCTTGCGTTACGAAAATATTCATAAGTGACGTGTTGGCAGGTTCTGTGCGAGGCTTTTTGATGGGTTCTCGTACCCAGGGCCACCTGTCCGTCTTAGCCGGCGAAGCCTTGGCACGAGGAAAAGGTGGGTCTTTAAACACATCCTTGCATAGGGCGACTGCGCCCGAAGTACAAGCGGCAGTCAAAAGCGATGCGTCCTACCGAAAAGACACGATCGTAGTCTTTTTCTTGGAAGCTAAGAAAAATAAAGACAATGTTAAAGTTGCTTTGGCCTTTTCTAATACTTAACTCGAGATTTCTGGGTTTAATTTGACGAGGAACATCATATTTTGTTCAAAATTACACAAGTGTTTTCCTACCTGGTAACACTGGACAAACTACGAGTAAATTGCCGGACGCGGACGACCCATTTTTGGCGCCAAAGTAAAAACTTGGAGACACAACACGTTTCATATTTTTCACCTTTTACAATATGAAATGGTTTCTGGAATTCTAAATCCCTTACAGTTCCTGAATATTCAATGTCCTCTCTGTGACTGATGAGAAAGTTGCTCGACTTCAATGCCTTTCCTGTTAACGAACATTGACGTCAGGACCGTACACTTTTTCTCCCCTGCTGAATCCTGATTGGTCAATTCAAATGTCACTTCCTCGGTAACATGAATTAAGATTACCATTAACAAAGTCTCCACGCAACATCAACCTCAAGCAAACGTTAATCAAGATTTACCTCTGTATCGTTATTAAGGTTCCACAGGTCCAGTCTCCCTGTACCGTCCACAGCAGCAAACAAAGCAGGGTGGATTGGGGACCACTGAACGTCATACACGTAATCGCCATTATCCTCAAAAGAGTACAGCGGGCGTGGGTTCTAAAAACAAAAAGAGGTCTAATAACTTAGCTTCAGTAATGTGCCTTAGTCTGCTTAAAAGGCGTAGGAAAAGCTGAGGAAAGAATAGTTGGCATTAAAGTGCGAGGACAAAAGTCTCTATTTTCCGCAACTTTCTGGGAACCCTACGGCTGGGTCAACTACTTAAAATGATTTGGGCTCGTATTTCTAAGGTTGCCTTGCGATAGACACCACCTGGCAAAAGGAAACCTGGTCGGCCAAAAACCAGCTAGCGCCGAACTGTCATGGCTCAGTGCGGTAAAACTCAGATGGGGCGATAACATAAAATAAGATAAAGCCTCTATTTATCGAGGGTTAACACATAATAGTAGAAATTCGCTGACGAACTTGTGGCCCTCACTTGTGCCTTGGCAAAGCATAACATTCTGCACAAGAGAGAGAGAGAGAGAGAGAGTGTTGTTGCCATAATAGCCTTTGTCGCACAGGGAACGAGGAAGATTAAGTAAGTAAGTAAGTTTCTCCACCTTACAGTTGTTGTCGTTTCTAAGTACTTTTCACTGACTCACCTTGTGACTCCAGAGTTTGATGGTCCAATCAAAGGATGATGTTAAGAAGAGGTAAGAGAAGTCGATTGGACCTGCTGCTGAGTGAGTGTCAATACCAGTGGCCGGACCGTAATGACCTTCAAATATGTCGCTGATACCCGCTTTGCTATAAAACAAAAACACACAAAGATCTCTTTACAGCCCATTCTATTCTAGGGACCCAATTATTTTCCATTATCCTTTTTCTAGGTCCCGTTTTCTTTTCTCCACAAAACCAACATTTTGAACTAAATTCTAATTCGATTGTAAATTCGAGGGTCACAGTGCTGTTCATCGCAAACTTGTGTGTGCTACACCCGTTCTGACTGACTGACTGACAGGCTGATTGTGTCACATACTGAGTGACTGACTGACTGACTGACTGACTGACTGACCGACTGACTGATTGACTGGCTGGCTGGCTGGCTGACTGACTGACTGACAGAATGTCTGTCTGACGGCCTGACGGACGGACGGACGGACGGATGGATGGTTGGCACTCTGGGGTAAGAGGCCTTGTTTCAAGCCCTGTCTGAGTACTTTCATTGAATTGTGCTGTGTTCTTAGGCAAGACATTTGACTCTCTCAGCACTGCAAAAAAACTTGCTCGTTGTTATGCTACAGGTCCTTTAAGCTTGGCCTGCAGTCTCTAGAAATGTATTTAAATTACCTTCCATGTCGACAGGCCGTGTAAACAGAGCCCTCCTCACTTCCAACCACGAAGTTATTGACATCGCCAGCCAAGAACGACAGACACGTGACAGCCACTGCCTTGGATTGTTTGAACTGAAGCTCCATGCTGTCCTGCAAGCAATAAAATGACAATCCAAGAATGAAATTGATGTAAGAAAGATAATAACTACACCGTCCGAAGATGCATGTAGAAACAATGTGAAAGACTTGACAAAATACATGTAGTTTGTTTTCGAAATCTGTGTTCGGCAACCTTAATTATTCACAGGGAACCAGCACGAGCTGTTCACGTAATAATCGTGAGAGCAAAGAAAATTTACGTTGGCAGTTGAAATAAACGAATGATTTTCCATTCTTTTTAACCATACACTGGGGCGGATCTAGAAGTGTTCGGGGGGTTGGTCAAACCCCCAAGTCACATGCTGACTTGGCCTCAGAATACCGCAAATCCCATATCTGAGGACCTCAATTTCAAAAATTTTCCGGGGGAGGATGCACTTGGACCCCCCTACAGGGGACTGTCTTCAGCAGTCCGTATCTTGAACTCCCTCCTCTAAAATCCTGTATCCACCACAGACACAGTAGACTGTAGTCAACACATACCTGAGGCTGCGAGAGCATATCAAGACTCCAGGAGCACATTTTACCATCAGTAGAGACACTGATCAGATTGTGAGCATTTTGAGTTCCCACAACATTTACACAATACACTGGGTGCTGCAAAAAAAAACAACAATAACAACAACTTCAGTTGAAGTTACTGAATAGAGTATTTTCACTCACATGGCCAGCAACCATGTAAATTTATTGCAAACAATGAAATTGTTTACACAGGTAAAGAGTTCAACTTCCACAGAATTGGTTTGGGACACAAGCATGCCCGCCACTTCATTGCTTTGAGACGCCAAAATGCATGCTGCGACTCTCTTAACAGGTACATGAAGGTTCGTGGGTGGGTTGCGTAAAACCTTACTAGGGAAGGTAGTAGGGAAATGTGAAATAAAACAAGCTGCGATTAGTCAAGTACAAATAGCACGATGTTCTTAAAAGGGGCAAACTAGCACTGGAATTTTGGCGCGCACTATAAAGGTTTGTTTTAGTATTGTTTTGTTTGTTAGTTTTTAAACTTTCATCTTTAAAAATCTATCGGGAAAATGGGGTGAAAATAAAAATAATAACAAGATTGCATTATATACTATTACACTGGATTGAAATGATGACTGCATACAATGTACATGTTACTAATAGTCCTTTTCATCCTTTATAAATTCATCATATTAAGATGATGCTAAGATAAATTTTGATGAACAAATCAATAAGGGAATGCACTAGCGATAATATCAGTCACACTATTGGGAAGATAAGTGGTAAAATTAGAACAGGAGATGTGCAGATGGTAAAATCCAGTGTGAGTGACTGACTTACTGTGTGAGCTGTGGCAGACAGTGGTGTTCTCTGAACAGGAGTCTTTTTACTACTTCTGTTGTCCCACAGAACAATTTGACCAGAATATGTGCCACCAACAATCAAATTAGGATGAAACTTGGCAAAAGTGACAGATGTCACACCAGACTGAAAAGGAAAGGATTCAAAACAAGTGAGAAAGCAAGTTCATAACACTACATTCACATTAATTAATCAATGTTGTTATCAGATCATGATTTCCTGCATTTTTGTCTCAATGACAGGGGTACGTGTTAAAGTGTATGGAAAAAGCAAACTAAACTAGACAGCAAAATCACGTATAGTAAAGTTCAGCCTCTCTCTCTTATGCAATTCTCTCACAAGAGTACTGCATTATGTGACAGAGAGCAGGCCAAAACTGGACTACATCACGTAATGCGCAGAAATTTACAGCACAGCACACTTCCCCAACCCCCCCTCAAAAAAAAGCCACTCACAGGAAGTGATGCAACTCCTTACACCACAAGAACACAGGGGGCAAAAAGTTCAATGCTGTCACAAGTACAGGCTGTTGTACGGGCTGTCGTACTGTATTCCAGAAGATACATGTACAAATGTACATGTACATGTATGCACATGCATTTCAACCAGATGTTCAAGGAAGGAGTAGCTTCAATGCACTCTTTTACCTGACAGTGGAATATGTATTCTGGAGATTCTTTCTGATATTTCATGTTCCATATGAGTGCAACGCCATCTGGCTCATGAGGGGCATCTTCATTGTTGTTATATGAAGCCACCAACAATTCTGGGTACTGGAATACAACACAAGACAAAAAACAGAATGTCAATGTATTCATCATCTTGGACTGTTGCACTGGATATTTGACCCCCCAGCCCCCCACCCTCCGCCCACTTCCTTTCTCTCCCAGATGAAGATGGAAGCTGCGAGGGTTGAGCATCTTTCCCAAGAGCTAAGCACAGTCAGGGCACAAGTGAACAAGTAGACAACCAAACAGTACTGTAAGTTACTCTTCTACCTGTGTGGACCAGTCCAAACATGTCACTGTTCTATGCCTTGACCACCGCTCATCAAAGAACTGTCGACTGATTGACAGTTTGCCAGACGCCTGTGTATCTCTGCGAGAGAATTAAATAGCAAAATGGGTAAGCACAATCATACTTTAATGTTTGCCGTTAATCAATTAATTAATTAATTAATTAATTAATTAATATTTTTCTCCTTGAAGTTGTTATTCAAAGTACAGATGTAGGCATTACATGTACTTGTATCCTAAAACAAGACTTGTGTCACATGAGAACCACTGATATATCACTTTTTGAAGAAAATTAGAAAAAAATTTACAGGATGCATCTCACAAAGAATTCATTCCTTTTTTTATTTGCGATTCCTTCCCAGCAACCACACTACCCAGGGTAGTATTATTTGAGAAGTTGTAAAATAATATACCCACCCCTCCATGTCTTCTGTCTCGGCACCAGAATAGTCAAATGTGATATCCACTGTCTCACACAAGGCTCTCTCCATTAGCCGGGTGGCTTTGTCAAAGAACTTGCTAAATTCACCAGAATTCAAAATGTGTTCCTTTTGTTCATCACTAAGCTCTATAACTGTAACTGTGATGGAAAAAAATACACCGTACAGTAATAGATACGAAAAGCTGAGGAATAGCTATGGGATAATGTAAGAGTTCTACACTAATAATACATATGCAATATTTTCTTATATTAGAAAATAGCCGAAAGAAAATACACGCACTGATTGGATTAATATTGTGTTTCTATTAAACAATAAGATCCTGAGCTTGAGATTTCTGTCGCATGATAGTTGACAAGGGCACTGCCCAGGTCAACTATCACAAATAGAAATCTAGGGAGAGAATGATCTAATTGTTTTATAGTATAAATCTAGTTGTCATTTAAAACTTGATCTAAATTCCCTTCACAGACACCTCAAAAACACAACGAAGTGGCCATCATTTTGTTAACAAGCGTGCACTGCTACACTAGTCACTATCTACAACAGAATTTCAACAGTATTTCAACTGCCTGTGGGCCAAATACAAGGAAAAACATGACTGACTGCTCAACAGGGGACCTCAAAAAGGAAATTTGAAAATGAGATGAATACAGGATACAAACTAGGGAGTAATGTTGAGATCTACAGTGTACCTACATACTTCCAGAGTTTCTGCATTACAATCAGTAATGTTAAAGCAGGATGAATATTTCAAGAATTTACCTTCTTCCCTGCTGTCTTCTTCTCCATCTTCTGGTTCTGACTGTGCGTCTGTCTCCTTTGCCTTTGGCATAGCAGAGGCTTCAAATTCATCTAGAAATAATAAAAACAAACACACACGCATTGAAATTGACCGTACCAAAGTACCAAAGTACCAAAATGACCCTTTTACAGGATTTGAATAAAGAATAAAAATAAATAATACGATAATAATGAATAACAATAATGGCAAGGAGAATGCAATAAACAAGAGCAGCTACATCATTCAAAGCATTTTCTCCAACACATCTCATATTTGCAATTTGGTGTTTTAAACATGCTTGTAAAAGGTGGCTACGGGCTTTTGGCCAAATGGGTGTCCAGGTGTCTTGTGGATGTCCGCTTAATTGTTTTATTTTTCATACGTTGCTTTTTAAATTTTTCAGTTGAGCAGGCCCTAAAGCACATTTTGGACACCTTCTTTTCTCCTATCTGGCTAGCTTGACTCTTGACTATTAAGGCACATGATCATAATAAGTTACTCGTTTACAGATGATCACTTTTTAAGCCGTGGTAAAACCGATGTGAACACTGCCATAAGCCAAGCCTAATGTTGCCGAAATCATTTGTTAATTAGATCAGACCATGATAAAACTCACCTGGGGGTTCTTCTGGTTCAGCACTTTGAGTTTGTGTCTCTTTGTTGTATAAGACAGGTTCCTGAAGAGGAAAACCACATTGAAAGAAATAACATGCATACCAAATTAAGATAAAGAAAAATGTGAAGAGTTTGTCTAGATCCAGGACCAAAAGGACTTGAAACAAGTTAAAGGATGCAGTAGTAAGAGGAATACGTGCACAGATTGTTTGTACTCTCTTTTGTTCCCTGTCGCACTGTACATGTACATAAAACTAACAGACAGAAGCATCCAATTACAAGTAGATTTCTGACAAGTACATGTACATGGTTGAACATTGTATTGTTGCATTTAACTGGAGGCAGCACATGTGGCCTAGCGGTCGGGGCTGGATTTGTAATCCAGAGGTCCCAAGTTCCATTCGTCCTCCCTGTCACTAGCTAGATGGATTTGGGTTCAATGATATGGAATTCAACATTTGTAATTAGATGGCCATGCTTTTCACGGTCTCATAGGGTTTTGCAGGGTTCATGCCTTTTAGGTTCCACCTGACAGTGCGTAAAAACATGTACATGTCGTTACTTCAACTGCCATTTGTGTTTGCTTATGGAGTGCTTTGGTTGAAAATTTTAAATCAATGGGAAATAACTCCTCGACACACAGTTTTCCAATGTAAGCATAGGTTTATTACTTGTAAAGGTACCTTTACCTTTGGTGGAATATTTGTCTGTGTAAGCTGAGACACACCCAATTTGACTGCTTTTTTCTTCTCTCTGTGAAAACCAGGCCAGAATGAGTTGAAAATTAGTTTCAGAGGAACTTTGCTTTACAGTCAAATAAGTTATGAGAAATACCCCTTCCAAAGCTAAAATAAAACTGCATTTCTTATCAAGAACAAAATGGGTACATTGATACTTATTAGTAACAAAAATAACATTTTTTGGTAACAGGTCACTATGGTGAGGGGGATCGAGGCTGTCAAAATGTCCCGTACCCTACTCTCCTGCCTCCCAACCAATGTCTCCTCAATTAATGTTCACTCTTCATTCTCGAAGTTGTTCCCATACCCAAGTAAACTGAAAGGCTTCAAAAACCATGTTAGTCAACGATAAAGCTGTGTCAGGACACCTCATTCCTAGGTCTTTAATGTCTTATTTTCTTTAATTTTTTAATTTTTTTTTTTTTTTTTTTATAATTTGCTAAGATTAACATTATTAATAGGTCTATACTCTCCATTTGTCTTGCTTCCTGCCCATTGAGAACCCCTACATCCCTCCTTTTCCTGTCTCCCACCTCCCCCTGCTTCTATTCTCCCAGGTTGCACCCCCC